GCTTAAAACCACTATCTGGTTTAAATGAGGCTTAAAACCACTATCTAGTTAATATGAGACATAAAACCACTATCTGATTAATATGAGGCTTAAAACCACTATCTGGTTAATATGAGACATAAAACCACTATCTGGTTAAAATGAGGCTTAAAACCACTATCTGGTTAATATGAGGCATAAAACCACTATCTGGTTAATATGAGGCATAAAGCCTCCAAGGTTAACCTTAGAGCAGATGACATGGTTAACCCCAACCTCCGACGGACATATATTGTGGCATCTCAATGGGCTGAGTATCAGACAAGAAAGTGGGAGAACAGGGCTCGAGTCTGACATGGACACAAAAAATTTATTAAAATATCTTTTGGTTATTTACACATTCATTGTCTTTAATATATTAAACCACTAGGGGACACTGTCAGGACAGTCTGAAGCCTAGAAGGCACAGTAGGGACCCTCTGAAGCCATTGTATGGGACTGATAATGCCTAATAACATCCATTTCATGGACTGATAACATCAGAATCCCCTGGCAGAACCTGATCTTAATGGAGCACAGCCGTCGGTGCTACACCGACTCCTTCAAACAAACTTATCCTCCACATCCTCATGGTCCTATTCAAGCCTTATCTGGTGAAGTTGGTGTTTGTTTTTAACTGTTTTAACTTCCATGTAGCATTGCTTGCTTTTATTTAATGTATTTGTGTGTATGTGATGATTTATTTATTTATTTTCAGGCTGAAGAACTCCTCTGGTCTGTTACAGAACACTGAATCCTTCACATCAACCTGTAAATAATTCTCCGATGATCGTCACGTCGCAGTGTTACAACATTCTTTTGTCTTATTGTGGACACCTATTAGGGCTGTTTTTCTTGTTTTGTAACATTTTAATGAATCAAACAGTAATTTTTACCAATGACTCTGTCTCATAAGAGTATTTTATGTAGTTTTATGTAGAGCAGCATTAGTTCTTACAAGTTTTAATTTAATAAAGTAAAATATACAGTGTGTTAACTTATTGTTGCCCAGAGTGGTGTTGTTTTTTTTTTTTTCATCATAATCTTGTATTGATGATGGCAGTTTTACTCAATTAAATCCATTATGTTAGACAGAGAAAAACATCYGACACAAAAGCTTTTCAATATGGCAGAGAACACACAGCTCTTTGTAAGATGCATTCTTCAGCAGCATTAGTGCACTTGAACTCTTCAGCTGTAAATCAACACCTAAATCACTGTTTGGTACAATATGGTATACAATGAGGAAATATATTTTGTTTTTTAAAGCCTATAATTCAACAACAAATAGAAAAAAACATTATCTATCTAATCTTTCTATCTACTTAAACTCACCAGCCTCTTAATTAGGTACACCTGTCCTACTGCTCGTTAATGCGAATGTTGAATCAGCCAATCACATGGCAGCAACTCAATACATTTAGACATGTAGACATGGCCAAGACGATCTGCTGCAGTTCAAACTGTGCATCAGAATGAGGAAGAATGTGATTTAAGTGACTTTGAACTGGTTGTTGGTGCCAAACGGGCTGGTCTGAGTATTTCAGGAACTGCTGATCTACTGGGATTTTCATCAGAACTCTCTCTAGCATTGCATGCACCAGATCTCCATACGCCTCAATCCTCCACTGGAGCAACCCTCCATCGAAACACCCGTGTGTTTGAGACATTGACACCGACAGCCAGGAAGAATAAATTCCACCAGCAGCTGATCCATGCTCGAGTGGGGTTCGATGAAGATCTTGCCTCTCGACGCGACGTACCAGGGCATTTGTCAAGGAGGGGGAAAGGGCGAGACTGAGACAGTACTGATGACAGAGGTACGGTCCTGAACAGGGCCAGATGACTGCATGCCGGGGCAACCCAACATGTCTGTACTTAGGTAGATGAAGGTGGGCAAATCTGCCTGCGACACTCCAAACATGGCCACTGTGAGCATGTCCGATTGATGACTGAGCAACCCCCAGACAGGCATAGCCCCAGGACGGACCCGTGGTCGCAAGGTGTGTTCAATGTGTGGATGATCAATCTGTCCTGCAAATCACATTAGTTCTCATTGCTAGTTGTCCTTCATTAACTCACAAGCCAAGTGATCAACTGCTAAGAATTGTCTGAGTTTTTATGAGTCTGACATCTGAGACAAGGTTTCTGTGCATTCACCTCCTAGACACAAAAATCTGAATTATGGTACTAAAAGTGAAAGTAGTCAAACTGAATTTTAATCAACTAAAATACAGTTTTAAAGCAAATTAATTC